AGCTTCAGGTATACAGTGCAGTGATCAAGCCTCTACCCCATCCATGATGCAGTCTCCCTAGCAAGACATGTGACCATCTGACACCCTAAAAAATATTTACAACATTATTAATTATATTCCTTGAACTGTCTTTCATGTCCCTGTGGCAATATTGTAGTTACATATTTATGCTGTCTAATCCCTTCCCCTTCTCCCTCATCCCCACCCCCTCCTAACTAGCCGCCATCAGCTGTTCCTCTATATCTCTGAGACCACTTCTGTTTAGTTTCAGTTCTATACCATGGTTATTTAACATTTAAATACCTAAAGAAGTGATCACCATGATAAGTTCAGCAACCCTCTGAACTATACCATGCTATCACAATATTATTGACTATATTCCCTGTGCTGTACATTACATCCCCATTACTTTTTGTTTTATACCTGGAAATTTGGACCTTTTATTCCTCTTCACCTTTTCTGCCCTTTTTTAGTTTTTGACATTCAATATTATTTTATATTAATTTCAGATGTATAGCATAGTAGTTAGACTTTTGTATAATTTAAGAAGTGATCCCCCTGATTAGTCTAGTACCTACCTTGCACTATACATAGTTATTACCATATTATTGACTATATTCCCTATGCTTTATTTTACATCCCCATGATTATTTTGTAATTATCAGATTGTACTTTTTACCCCCTTCACCTTTACAACCTACTCCACAACCCCCTCCCATCTATCACCCCAACAAATCTAGTACCTATCTGACATCATATATAGTTATTACAATATTATTGACTATATTCCTTATGAAATACCCTACATCCCCATGACTACTGTGTAACACCCAACTTTTCCTTCTTAATCCCTTCACCTTTTTTACCCTGCCCTAATCCCCTCTCATCTATCACCACCCATGAAAGTAGTACCAATATGACACCATATATTGTTATTACAGTATTATTGACTATATTCCTTATGCTATAATTTACATCTCCATGATTACTATGTAACGACCAATTTGTACTTATTAATCCCTCACTCTTTTTCACTCATTCCCAACCTCCCTCCCATCTGGCAACCATCAATATGTTCTCTATATCTATGAGTTTGTTTCTGTTTTGTTTGTTTATTTTGTTTTTTAGATTCTATATATAAGCAAAATCTCATTNCTAAAAAAAAAAAAAATTGGAAGCAACTTGGCCAGCCAAGGGTGACTGGCAAACCTAGTGCCCCATCTGTGTATTTACCTATTGTGCAAAGTGCCCTCAGGGTAGTCCAAATTGGCACAACTCAGGCCATAAGAGGAACCCTCAGAGAACAGAAGGAAGCAAAAGTCAGTTCCATCCTCTGGAAGGCTCCAAGTCTAGGAGCTTAAGGGATCTCAGAATTGGGCTCCTGAAACAGAACGACCCAAGGACAGCAACTGTGGAGTGCTAAATGAAAAGCGAATCAAGGTCTGGGGAGAGAATGTGAGGGAGGGTAATGTAGCTTTTATGAGGCAGCCCTCAGACTGGAAGCCATGGGTTGAGTTGGCATGGCTGGTTCAAACCCAGTTCTTCCATTCTCCAGCTAGGTGGCCCAGGGCACTTATCTCCTTTGGCTTTGTGGGTAAAAGGGGATGAGAATTTCCACTTCGCATCAGCAAGAGGAGAGCCCATGGGACACTTCAGTAAGAGAATGTTATCAGCATTTTTAAAAGGAGACCTCCTGGGGCAAGTAGGCTGATGGGCCTTACAGGTTTGGGTGGAACTGGAAAAGCATTGCAGCATTCTGACAAGTCAATCTTTTTCTCCCTCCTGAAAACGTGTGTTCTCTCTGGAAGATCTGACGTGGTCTGTCTCCTCCTAGGCTCCAGAAGGCTAGAGATGTCAGTAGAGATCTGTATCACATGCCCAACCTCATCTCCATTCTCTAGCTGAACCTTTCTCAGTGGCTGATAAGCCCGGTCCACGTAGCCAGGCAACCAGATGACCAGATGTCAGTCAAGGGATCAAAACCCACCGTTTAGCTCTTTGGCTTGGAAAGGAGTGGGTGGGTACTAGTGTGTTCCTGGGAGGTCACCCTTTCTCTTTAGAATCTTCTGGTATTCCCCAGGTCTCACAGCCTGGGGCTGAACTGACAAGCTCCTGGGAGATCTGGGATCAGAGAAGGGGAAGGGGTGGTGTTTACCTAGCACATCACAAGTTAGGCCTGCCTGGCCTCAGTATCTGGGAGAGCATGTGGAGGGGTACTGATCACCCACACCCTGTATCATTGGGGCCTCACTGCACCTCACAGTCAGCCTCACTAGCCACCTCCTCTCCCTCCAAGCCATAGCCTTCAAAATGCCCTCCCAGCTATCACTGCAGTCTGGACTGCTCCTAATGCTTTGGGGCCAGAAATGGGCTGTTAGGTAAAGCTACCCTGGGTCTAGCCCGCTCCCCTAGCTGCCCCAGGGCTCACCTTCACCTCTCTAGCTGAGGGGAGGGTGGGTGTGTGTGTGTGTGGGGGGGGTGTGTGAAGCACAGCTGAGCACAGGGCCTGAGACCCTCCTGAGGGGAAGCTTAGCCTGGAAGACGGTTGATCCTGAGCAATCACGTCCCCACTGCTGGGCACAGGCCTCAAAAATAGGTGCCAGGGGCTGGCTGGGAGGCCAGGGACAGCCCAGGGTGCAAAGAGGGCTTAGCCAGCCAGTACCCAGAAGTGCAATAAACAGGCACACAGGAACACACAAATTCAGTCTCCCCTCCACACACACACACACACACACACACACACACACACACACACACACACAGGTGCCGCCCCCACCCCCCCAATACAGAACAGAACGGTACCACCGAGGAGGAGTCATTATATACGGGCTTACTATGCTGTCCCTCACCACCCCATCTTCCCAAAGGGAGCTCACTAAGCCCCGCCCAAACCATTGTGGTGCGGAGGGGGCGCGGGCCTGGGAGCCTGGGGCAAGCCCGGCTGTTACCTGGACCTGCCACTGCCCTCTCCCGGCCTCGGCTTGTCCTGGGGCACCACCGGGGGTGGGAGCGGGGCGGAGACCCCGATTCTCCGAATCCCGCGCGCGCTAGTCTGCGAGGGGCTCGGAGGAACCCTCCCCCACCCTCCCACCTCACCCTACCCGCCCTACCCTTGCAGCCGGCCTGGCCTCCACCCCGCCTTGCCCCCTTCCTGTCCTTGGGCCCCACCGCGCGCCCGTTCCTAACGTCGCTGCCCGGATCGCGCTGCGCGATCCCCCTCACCATGTCGGGGCGCGGTGCGGACGCTGGCGAGCAGCAGGTGGCGGCGGAGACGGCGAGTTCGGCGCAGGGTGCACTCGGCGGCCGTCGGGCGGGGCCAGACTCGGGCCGCCCCAGGGCGAGGAGCGCAGCCGGGGAGGGGCCGCCGCCAGTAATCATTAACTTGGCGCTAGGCCTCTGCTCCCTTCCAGCACTTTCCTCGGTGCCCTCGTTATGAGGATCTCAGGGGTTAAGTACGCGGGATCCAAATGCAGACATGCATTTGAATCGTGCTCTGCCACTTACCAGCTGTGTGACCCTGGGCACGGGATTATCTTTTTTAAAACACCTATTGAGGTACTGATCTACAATAAACTGCACATATTTAAAGGGTACAATTTGATGCATTTTGACATATGTATGCCCCCCTGCAACCATTACCACCATCAAGATCATGAACATAACCCTCACCCCTAAAGTTTCCTCTTGCCTCCTCAGACAAGCATTGATCTGCTTCTCGTCACGATAGATTAGATAGCTTTTTCTAGAATTCCATGTAAATGGAAATCACACAGTATATACTCTTTGTGTCTGGTTTCTTTCACTCAGCATAATTACTTTTTGAGATTGACCCATGCAGTTGCAGTATCAATAGTTTTTTTCCTTTTGTGGCTAGGTAAAACTTATTTGATAGTATTACCTTGTATTTGGATATAATACACATCACAATTTGTTTATTCACTTGTCGATGGACTTTGGGTTGTTTCCAGTTTTTAAACTGCTATGAACTTCCACGTACANTTTAATCTGCATTTCTTTTTGTAGTGAGACTGAATATCTTCCAGGGGTGTTGATGTTGATTCTCGGAAGGAGATAAATGGAGCAGGAAGAGTAGACAGTCAGTCTTTGGGTGAGGAGGGCCCACAGGGAAATCCAAGGAAGGGGTGGCATTCTCAGGACTTGGACGGGGCCGAGCACAACAGGCACACCGCACTCACCTTGTTGTACACGTTAAACCACTCAGGATGGTGGTCCAGTTTCTCAGCCTGCAGGGCCACTCTTGTCATGAAGCCAAAAGCCTATTTAGTGAAATGAGACCCAGGTTAGTGTTTTGAGAGAAAGAGAGACTGCTGGATACCTTCTTACGGCCAGAGTAAAGCCTTGATGCAGGAGGATGGACAAGCTTCCTAGAAGGAGACTCCTCTAGCTTTAATCATTCCACCTGGCATCCTGCCGCTGGCTCTGAGGCTGGAGTTTGAGGTGGTGTTTCTGGAGTAGGAAGAAGATTCTGTTACTCCAATCACTAACAAGGGGGGAACACCAGAGAGGTGTTTAGTCTTGGCCAATCTTTTGGCCATCTACTAACATGTCTTCAGAAGTCCATCTATTTCCCATCTGAACTATCTCTAAGCATTGTTTCTCAAAGTTTCAGGTGTAGACAGCCCAAAGCCGTCTCCCCATTCTCTAATCCCCAAGGAGGACACGTCCGGAGGAAGTTGAATCAGCATAGCACCTGAGAGTCTTGGCTAACAGGACTTTAAGAAGGAGAACAAGTTCTGGAGGGTGACCCCCTCAGCCCCAGCCTCACCCTGTTAAAGTCTTTGAAATGGAACTGCTTGAAGATGGCGTCTCGGCCTTCCAGCTCATTCCAACCCACAGCCCTCAGGTTTGGCAGCAGCTGGTCCCTCTCCTCAGCACTGAGCCTGTGTGCTTTGCCAGCCTAGGAGAGGGCAAAAAAAAACAGAATCCCAAGGGCATTTTTTGTACAGGACATAAGAGGGCCCCAGACCTTTGGGGGAATTGAGCCAGCTGCCACTGGTGCTCTGGACATGGGGTGACAGTCAAAGGGCAGCTGGCCTAAAGCAATAGACTGGGAGGTGTGGAGGGTGGCACCCTGCCCTGGAGGTGGGGTCCTGGCTCACGCACTGATAGGCTCTTAGACTTGACATGCTACTGAAAAGAACAAAATCCTGAGGTGCAATGCACCTCATCGGGACTGAGAAGCACTCCTCCCCGACCCCTCTCCCCAAAGCCTTACAGAGCCCTCTCTCCCCAAAAGCTAGTTCTCGTACATTAATGCAATACAAGTAAAACCAAGCCCAGACCTGTATGTATGAAAACACAGCCTTTCAGAAAAAGTACCCCTGACTGCCCAACCTTCCTTTCCTATTACAGACCTCATGCAGTCCACCCTTATGCCCCTACCGTTATTCACTGTCAGGTGTACTGGAGAGGAAGCCAAGGCCCAGAGACGGGACATGACCACTGCTCTGCCCCTAGTCAGTGAAAGCACAGGCATTGTTCTCAAAGTGGGTCTGGCCGCCTTCTCCCTGGGACCAGCAAAGTACCCAGCACTTAAAACACGTTCCAGTCGACTCTTAGCCATGGTGCAGTGGACAACCCCTGGCACTACCTCCCAGTGGGTACTCCATGATGCTCCCAAGCAGCCTCTGGTTCCGGCTGTCAGGCCTAGGGTTCTCCAACTTCCACCTTCTTTTCTATCTGCCTGGGAAGCCCAAGCCACAGAGCTCTGTTAAAAGTGGAAGCAGGGGGGCCGGCCGAGTGGCGCGATGGTTAAGAACTCGCTTGGGATGCCAGAGGGCCCCGGTTCGGATCCCACATATGAGGGCCAGCGACTGATCTGCTTCGCCAGAGAAGAGCGCAATGATGGTGCCAACTTGGGCCAGTGAAGCAACA